GAGGGGGCGTTCCGCACGCCCCCCCGCCCCCAGCACCGTCCTCACAGCTGCGGGGGCGGTGATTGCAGGCACGGGCAGCATACAGAGACCCGCTGCCCCCCTTCCCCCAAAGGGCCAGCAGCCGGCCGCTGCTGGGAGTGGCGTGGGGCCAGGGCGGGCAGGCAGCTTGCTGAGCCCCGCTGTGCCACTGGCTGGGAGCCGCCTGTGGTAAGCGCCTCCCGGCCAGAGCCTCCGCCTCGCACCCCCTCCGAAAACGGCTGCCCGCAAGGGGGCGGCCAAAGAGCCGCATGCGGCTCCAGACCCGTGGGTTGCCGACCCCTGCACTAGACTATGTTCTTTTTCGGGTCCAGAACAGCAATCATCACTTCATCCTAATATCCATTTGAAACTTGTCTGGTCCCAGATGGAAGATTGGCTTTGCAGTCGCAGACCTCCCCTGTGGCTAGAGGCAGGGGAAGGTCAAATGTTAGGTGAAGCAGATCGGAGAACCAGAGCCTCTTCGGCCGGGAAGGCCTGCACAGTAGCACGCTGCTCTCTTGTTCTCACATTTTGCATTGTTCTGGGGTGCTGTGGGAGAGGTGGAAAGAAAAAAAATCTCTGCTTTAGGAGAGGTCATTCATTCCAGGGCCTAGCACATGGCGAGGCTACAGGGTACTTTGTGGCTGTGTCCCGATGCAGAGAGGTCAATCACCAGCTCATCCAGTTGGCTTACAGCATATCAGGATATTTCTGGGTACAGGTTACACTCTTCAATCCAATTTCATCTTGATCAGAAGTAGCTGCTGGATGATTTCATTCATGTCATGGCATTTCTACGGGTTGCTTGATATTGGGAATGAAACAAAGCTATTCCTGCGGTTCTTGCACCACTGGGTACTCTCTGTGGACAGTGTCCTGCCACCTTGTTTTGGCCAACGAGACATTTGCTCCCACATTGAAAGAAGCCGTGGCCCCATTCTGGAGCCGAACTCCAGCTTGAGCTAGTTGGGAGTCACGCAGATCGCTGTGAGGCAGCGGAGGGAAGCTGCTGTCTCGCCTCAGCACCCTGCCTGCATTTGTTCTAGGCACCATTTGCAAACATGTATTTTCTCCTGTTATTTCAGGGCAGGGGTGAAAGTAACTTTAAGGACTTACCGGTATGCCAGAGTCCTGAGCAGGGGGCAAGGCCTCAACCAGAAGGGGCAGGGTCTTTAAAATCCCCGGGCCCTTTAAATCACTGCCAGAGCCCAAGGCCACCACCGCCGCTACCCCTAGGCTCTGATAGCGGGGCTCTGGTGGTGATTTAAAGGGCCCGGGGAGGCTGCCCCCTGCCGGTACGGTCGGCCGTGTACCAGCACTTGCTGGTACGCTGTACCGGACCAGCTTACTTTCACCTCTGCTTCAGGGACTAACGCACCTTGCCTTGTGACCTCTGTTCCTGTCTATAATGTCCTGTTAGAATTGTAAGTGGACACCTCTGAATAACCTCTACTTTCCCCTGTAGCACTAAGAGAATTGAGCACAGATTCGCCTGAGCAGCTGATCTCAAGGAGTGAACCTCCATATACCCATGAGAAACAGATTTATATCCTACTATCATTTTCAGGGAGAAGGCCTTAAGCCACGGATTGTTAGGTTGAGCGTGACCCATCTGCCCCTCCTTGTTAGCAATGCTTGTGGAGACGCACAGAGTGTGTGGGATGACAGGGCTGTCTTTTTTCCCCCTATAATGCCACTGGAGAGTTTTCCTACTGAAGAGACAGGCTTTAAGGTGATGCCTGCCTGGACCTGGCTCCCTGTGAAGGGCTTGTATAGTGAGGTGGCCGCTCTTCCAGGTAAAAACCTCCCTCATTTAGAAAGAGAGCCCCTGAGCCCTACAGACCTTTGGTAATGTTACCACGATGTGTTTGGATTGGTGCACACAGAGGAACCTTCTGGCTTTATAGGGTGGAAGGCAGCAGTGGGGAGGGTTAGAAAGAAAGAAAAGTAAGGGGCCAAAAAGCCCCCATAGCGTCTGCTTGTTCTTTCACAGCTGGGCTGCTGTCCATCTTGTCACACCCTGGCCAGCTGAGATGAAGCATAGGAATCTGCAACAGAAGCTGAGGGGAATAACCTGCATACTAGGGAATGGTGACCCACAGCAGCAGGGAAGGACAGCCCAACTCTTTTCCTGTCGTTTAGGTGTGGTAGAAAATCCTTTTGTTCCATCTTCACGAGTACAAAGAGGGATACATATAGCTATAGCTCGTCTAAGGTGGCTGCAGACCTCCTAAGTGTGGTTTCACAGTCCTTTGCCTGATGGAGTCTGACCTTTGCGGGGGGGCATATATTTGATCAAATAATATATAAAAAACACCCTAACTCTGGTTTGGACAGCTGCCCTCTTTCCCTGAGGAGGAATCCCATTTGGGGGGGTCTGTGCATGCCTAATGGAATCAGTACCTAGCTGTGGCCTGGGTTTTTTCCCCAGCACTGAGCTGCCAGGCTCCACTCCATGAAGCTGGATGCTTTATTCATTTAGTTTGTCCCCATAATTCTGCTTCAGAGAATGGTCCAAAAATATTTCAAGTGACTAGCTATCACCCTGTCCTCAAAGAGGCTGGGTTTATTGTCTCCCCTCCCCTGCATGGGTTTCTCAAGGAAGGCACTGGCTAGGGCTTCAAGATTGAGTTCTCTTGACCCTCTGCCTTCTCTTGTGCATGGAGTCTATTTGGTCTGTTCTTTCAGCAGAGATCCCAGCCTGGGATATCACTAGGGATCAGCTGGAAGGTCTGGGAAGAGGTGAGTCCCATCTGTGTCCTCCATCCGTGCCAGGAGATGGCGGCTGAGCTCCACAGGCAGGAGCGAAGGCTCTAAGGACTTGGGCATGAGCTTCCGTCTGACGCACTTCCCTCATGGAAATGATCTGTTCGTGCCTAAAGGCAGTTTTTCAATCCTGTCTGGCTACTTTCCTATGAGCAGCAGCCTGACCCCAGAGCAGGTTGAGCTCCCCAAGGAGACAGACCCTTCTTTTAACTCTGGCGTGTTTAGCTTAGATCTATCCCTGAAGCAACACAAGCCTCAGAGAGGGGCAAGTGGAACTGTGAGGACAATGTTATCAAAAGGCAGGGACAGCTAGGACCAAATTGTTATTAGGGAGAAGTTTGAAATTCTCCTCCCTAAACCACTACAGCAGGGAGGGGTGGCTGAGTTGCGGACTGCTGGTGAGGCAGATAAAATTAGCTGGAACTTCAGGTGAGATGCAGCCTACTGCCAGTGCCTGACAGATCTGATTCTGCCCCAAGCTGCGAGCAGATGGGAATGTCTCAGTCCAATGGCTCTGCGGACCTTATCACATAGAAGGCTTTTGTTTAATTGTAGTTTAAATTGGTAAGGAACTGGCCTAACCGATGGAAGGTGCTTTTAAACCAAGGTAAGTGTCTACATGGGCTTGCCTACAATGCTTTTAAGACACCAGCACAAGTTTCCTCTTAGGCAGGAGAGAAATTTAATCCCATGCTAGACATAGGGAAATTCAAGCAGAATGGGTGAAGTCAACAGGAGCTTTGCCCTAACTTTGATGACTGCAGAACTGGGCTCTAACACCTAAATATTCAAAACTGACTCCTGGTTTGGAGTGCCCAACTCGACACTTTTATAGGTTTTGATTTTCAGAGGGTGAATGTTCAGCACTTTCTGAAAATCAGGCCCCTTTAAGGGGTGTCTCAGGTTGGGTTCTCAAAAATGGTAGCCCCCCCAAAATTACTGTTTACTTTTGAGAAGTTGGCCCTAGCTAACTTGCGCAGAGGTTAGGGGGCAGCCAGGATGAGAACTGAGGAATTCTTATCTTTCACTTTTGTGCTCTATACTGGCTGCTCTCCTACCCATAGATTGCAGTTGAAGACCACGATACATTTAACACTGTTTAGTCATCTGTCTTTAATGGGAGGAATGGTTTTTTGTTTTAAATGGGGCTAGGTGATGTCACGGGCTTGTGCATGAATACTTAGTAACTTTCTAACTTTTGTAAAGGCACTAAATTAATGAATTCCTAACTTACCCTGTGTCCTACTAAACCAGCTTACTGGTTGGAAGTAACTGTCCGATGCTAATTATCCATTAAAAAGATGTCTGCCCTTCACATAGGCAGGGTACTGTACCTCAGGGCAGAGGCTTTCCCTCTAGATTAAGGACAGTCACTAGCCTTCTGTCCCTGACCTTGAGCAGGTACAGTGTTGTGGGAAATCTACACCTGGCATATCAAGGCATTTCTGAACATATAGCTGTCCAGCAGACAGGGTTGTGAAAGTTTATGCTCAAGGTAGCCCAAATAGATCAGCCCCTCCCTTAACTTCAAAATTGCCACTATTTTCATAACACCAATCAGTGCCTGAATGTCCCTTGAAGCAAGCAATTACTGGTCCAATAGCTGCTCTGGTGTTTCTACAATATGGTGCAAACAAGGGAGTACATACAAAAGAATGATGTTTGCAACAGCCTCGTTAGGATATAAGATTGAGTATACCTTAAGCTGACACCTTCCCTGAACTAAGTAATAAGGTTACTGGTCTCTCCAAGTCCCACCTCAAGACTTCTGCCACAGTGCCAACAAGAAATTAGCCAAGCAACTGGTGAGAAGTCTTTATGTAATTAGAAACAATATGCAGACTGGAGATTAAAGTGTGCATGAAAAGTTCACACAGGTGTGTATATCCCTTGTCCCCACTACTTCGGAGACTGTAAGCTGTTCAGCACCGATTCTGTACAAACAGGTATATGCAGTTCTTATCACGCTGCAGCACCCTCTGCGGGTACTTGTTTATATTATGGTAGCAATGCATAAAATGAACAAAATGTGATGTATGGGTTGGAAAATAGCAGGTTTTTTAAAATTGGTTGACATTATCCTTTCAAAATTAGACTATCTGCAGGTACCTAGCCAGGCTAACAGTCTCCCATGTGCTCACCTGGCAAACCACCTCTGCATCTTTTAAGCAAACATTTAGTGATTTGTGTCGCTGCAGACAAAAACAAGGCTCGTGCCTGATAGAAATTTTTTTATTATTGAACAGATGAACTAAAAATAAGCCAACAATATAATTTTATGCCAACAGCCATCTCTCTATCACAGCCGGTGACTGACCCAGTGCACCCTTCTCCCCCTGACCCCCTTTTCTATGGGAAGTTAATGGTGGTGGCTCTTACAGACCCCAATGATCTCACTACTATTATTTCTGGATGTGTGCCTGGGACGGGAGGGGCAGAGAAACAAGTATACATATTTTGTTGGAGCAACAAGCAGAAAGCCTTGTGGATCCTCTTGCAGGTTCATAGACAGATGAAGCATCACACCCACTACATTTGTAGCAAGCCCCTACCGCTACTGCAGTCAAGCCAGGCATCTCTTCTTCCCATTCCAAGCCAGCAAAGGGCAAGATGCAATTGACTGGGGACTCTATGTAAAACTGGGAGGGGGAGTCTATGTAAAAACCAAACCCCAAAACAAAATCTGCATTTAAGCCACTTCAAAGTAAAAGTCACTTCTTATAACATAATATATATTTTTAAAATGGCAGTACCACCATCCTAGAAAGACAGAAGGGCTTGCACTCAAGACTGAGGGAAAAAAGACCCAAAAAAAAAAAAAAAAAAGCAGCCCAACTCAAACACATGGTTCTTCTCTAAAAACAGCATTCGTCAGCCATCTGACAGGGGGAAAAGAAAGAAGGAACAGGAGAAAACAATAAAATAAGATTGGTGCAACTTCTCACCAGATGGTGCATTAACAAAAGCTCCGTACAGTCCCACACGACTACACGTCCTGTGGTGGCAGCATAATTTCTTAAACTTTCATCGCTGTGTATGTCTGTATATATATATATGCACATATACACACACACACACACACATATATATAGAATATATAATATTGTTTTTATGTTAATGTTAGTTTTGCTCCAGAGGAAGGCTCATCTCTCCTTCACATGGTTCTGTGCTCCTGCGCAGCTGTTGCCACTCCCATTACTACTGCTCCCGCTGCTGCAGAGGATCTCCGTGAGGTCATCCATGATGGTGGTTTCTTTAGGGTCCACCAGGTTGAACTCCCTGATGAATAGGATGAAGTGTGTGTAGAGTGTATTTAAGTGTCCATGCAGCTCCAGTGCCAAAGTCTCCTTAAAGTGGGAGGAGTAGATGTGGGCCAGCACATGGAACAGATACTTGCAAATCTTCTTTACTAAGGACTCAAAGGAGTTGGGGAATTCTTTGCCTGTGAAGAGGAGAGAAAGAAAACCTGAGACACGCACGTAGTGCTAGGTGATCAAATCCATCGTTTCAGCCGAAGGGAAGCATCTGTCCCTGCCAATGTACAGACTGGTGCAACTTACTTCTTTTTAAAAGGCAGGATATTGTCTTTAAAGCTGTAATGGAGAAGTAGGATTTAACTGGATGGAGCCCATCAGTCAACACTGCCATTGCTTATTCCCCTTCCAGGGCTGCCAACTCTTCAAGTTTATTAGGAAGCAAACACCCACCCAAATTTATTGTTTTTAATATCTCAATTTTGGGGGCCACAACTCCAGTGAAACCTGGCAGACAACTCCTCATCTGCCTGCCTGTTCACCCTCCTCAGTTGTAACCACACTTCTGCTCCACCCCCCAGGTTTTCAGTCCACACGTCTGGGTCTGGGCCTAGATGCTGCTGCAAGTACCCGCAAGCTGGGGGATCCATTCGTAGGTGGAGTGGGAACTAAAGAAAGTTCCATACCTGTACCATATTGCACAAATCTAGGCCCTGGTGTGTGCGCAGTACAGGTATAAAGTCCTCTACAAAGTTATCCACTGCAAGATTTACCATGTACTGCATAATCTAGAGGCACTAATTTAACTCATGATATTAGGATTACTTAGTCCTAGACAATAGTACTTTTCATAGCCTGACGACACGCTGCAGTAGGATCTGCACTGCTACAAAACAAGTCTGGACAAACTAAATTTAGATTGCATACTGCCCTGTGGACAGGCACCTGAGTGCCGTGTCCAGAGTCATGCACCTAACCCAAGATGGAAAAATTATTTTCTTTTTAACAGACTCCTCAGTTTCCTTGTTAATAGCACCAACCAACAGGAGAAACAGATTTGCCCTCTCAGGTTGCTACACAGCTATGTTCCTCTGATGGCTTGGCTCCCTAATGCACTCTGGGGAGAGCACATGCAGAATTAGAAACATACGCACACTCCAATTAAAGTGCAGGACACAACTGCTGTTTGATGGCACTCATGAGGAGGTCAGTTTTCATTTTCATCCTAACATGCACCCAGGATTTAGGTGCAGACCAGACCAGCAGTCTGGCCTTCACCATCATCATGATAGTAGTCAGATTATATTCAGTGCTGTTCAAACATCCAGGGACAGCAAACATACATGTAGGGGAGGACTTAGGACAGTCATATGTGCAACTTCTCATTTGGCTCCTTTGTGACAGCCATATTTGCTTGTGAAGTAGACCAATATGAGATCCTGATGACCCCTGTAATAACTAAATTAAAAAATTTCATAGGCAAAAAGGGGTTAAGGAACTGGCTTAGCTAGGAGTTAGTGATTTGATTGCCAGAATGATATTCTCCCCCCTACATGCCTCTGGTCCACATTCAGATGCTTGTTATTACTCAGCTAGTAGCTCCACACAACATTTCTATGTAACAGCGAAGTCTCTCTCTGGGGGCTGAAGCAGCTGTTTAGTTCTTGATTACATCCATCCCCCAGTGTGCTGGCCATTCTAGTGTACAGGTTCCATGATGAATACAAGGGGACTGTTCCCCCCACCCCCATAATAATCTAGTTAATCACATCTAGAGGGTACAGTAATTCTGTACATTGTTGAGGCCTGGCTATATTGCTAAGATTGCACTTTTCCTTACATTTCAAGTCGTAGATGGGTTTATTGATTCACCACTCAGTAAGACACAGATATGGAATAAGGTGGCAGGTACATCACTTTCTACGGAGTGGGGGAGGAGGGGAGTTCAGACAAAAGAGGCAAAAGCAACCCAAACTCTCCCCACCACCCTGCGTAGAAAGTTGTTTGTTTTTTGTTTTTTTTTAATAGTTGTAGAAAGAGGTTGTTTCATATCCTGCAGCTGCCTGCTAACCGGTTCATCCCCTTTGAAGTTCCAGTGCTCCACTGGCAATGGTGTGAAGGGATTACAGAGGTCAGATGCTGGTGCTATCCAAACAGGCGTGAAGGTGGTCTCTACCTCCGTGAGCTCACAAATCATTTCCCCCCTCTGAAAACTGGCTCCTCCAGAATAACTCAAAAGGACTTTGGGTAGGTCCACAGTTACGGTGGCCTGTAGAGAGTACAGACACTACACACCCAGCATGGGTGTAAATACGGCGCAGGTGGGGAGGTATTTTTTCGGTGAGTTGAATAGATGGGCCAGATCCCTTAGGGTATGTATCCTACATGCCCAAGCAGTGCCTGCCGCGTCTACGCTGCTATTTTTAGCAGTGTGGTGTCCTGCTGCCAGAGCTTTTCCCTACCCCAGTGAAAGACTCTGGCAGTGCGGAAAGGCTCTTTCTAAGGGACACAATGGGGAAAAGTCCCAGCAGCTCCTTGCTGGCAGTCTCCCCCTGCCAGAGCTTTTCACTGCCACGTGTAGCTACACATACCCTACATGCCACTACAACTGTGGACAGGGCCGAAGGGAGTGGAAGAAGATGGAAAGACCTGCTGGTTTGGCAAAAAGGTGGCTCTGCAAATCTCTAGGAGTTCATGGTTTCCTTTTCTCTCCTAGGGTTAAGCTACGTGCATTGTGTGTTAATGATTTAACAGTTCCACAGTCCTTAGTCTGCAGAACGCTTGCTGGTGATCTGCACAGAAAGCCAGGTAGCAGAGTGGTAACGCCAACTCCTTACTTCCAGCTACTTGTTCAGTGAAGTAACTACTTCATTGCAATTAAGAACCTAGATCCCTGTTAAAGCAGCTGGAAACAGGGAGGCCCAGCCTCGCTGCTGCACAAGGAGGAGTGGGGGTGACTGGAGCCACCAACATAACAATTAGCAGTAAACAAATGCTTTTCAAATATCACTTGTCTAGGTAGGCAACTGATGTTTCCACAGCAATGTTGTGCAGCTGTGAATGGGAGGGGAGGTGTCCCCAGCACTATCCAATCTGTTTATAGAACGTGAACCATGTATTGAGAAGCCCCGTAAAAAGTGAACACACTTTTCCTGGATTAACCATGGGACTATGGGTTTTCTGTGACTCTACGGATGCAGTGTTTATTTCCTGCTACCTCACAGGCTGTCATCTGTCCCCTCTTCTCCGCCTGTGGCACACAACACTTCAGTTTCCTAAGGGCTAAAACGCTTTGTTCGAACCGGAATCATTGGGCTAAACTTTGAGGTATTTGGGCAAAATGTGATGGCCTGTGATACTGGATAATGTAATAGTCCCTTCTGGCTTTCAAGGCTATGAAAATAGGAAATAATGGGATCAATTTGTCCCGTTGTCTCCTGCAGTACGGTTACTAGATCCAAGCTCTGGGAGAGTGTGCAAGGAAAGGTGTGAAAAAGGAAAATGCTCATCATAGTAGCACACCAGGAGAGACTGAAGGATTGTGAGAATCAGGGTGACAACCCCGATGCACATGGCAAAGATAAACAGGCCATATTCATCACTGGAGTAACCCCACTGCAATTCAGGGATGAATCAGGCCCAGTATTCTTTCCCTCCAGTCAAAATGCTTTTGTAACGAAAAACCGGCTTTAGAAGTTTTGCTCTAGCTTTTCAAAACATTCATATTTGGGTTTAGACCAAGCATGCAAAATTTCAGCCCAGAAAGAAAGAATTAGCAAGTTCAGAGTAATAAATTAAGAATAGACAGCACAAATGAAGTACATTTCTGCACCGTTAGTGCAGCGTTTGTGACTTCTGGATGATGAACACCCCTTTCAGAGAGAGAGATCAGAGGACACTTCTCCCAGGAGCAAACATACCATATTTTGTAGGAAAGACATCCTCGTCCGTCACTAGCTTCTGCACCGAACTCATGACAAAGTCAACGTACTGAGGGGCCGTGCACTTTATCTTCTTTCCCCGCTCATCATACCAGTAGTACTGTCTGTGGAGAGAATTGCCAGTGTTGTGTGTTACACTTAGGACCCTCAGCTTGATTTACAGCACACTTATAAAAGTACACAGGCACATGCTTCTGGCCAAGTAGCTGAACACTCTAACTAAACTATAAGAACTTCAGCAGCAGCAGATAGATTTCTTCTTTTTTAAAAAGGACACTTACAGATATATGTTGATGTCAAACTTCCCCCAAAACCCAATGCCTGGCAAGAGACAACATTCATTTTTTCAAGCTGTTTGGGCTTTTAAGCGAGCCAACAACATTACTGAAGTACAGGCCACGGATTCCTATAGCGACTCACTTCAGAATGGTTTCCTAGATAGGAAGTCCGGACACTATCTCCTTTATAAAAGCAGTACAGAACTTTCCATTTACCGTTCCGCTTCTGCCAGTGAGCTCACTCAATGCTGTCAGCAGCACTAGCAACACCGACAACTTGCAAAGGAAAGTCCTCCATAAGTCAAGCCCAGAATGGAGGCCTGTATCACCTGAGTGTTACTTTCCCCGAACAGGACAAATCCACAGAAAAGGGCTAAAGAGAATGCCAGGAGGCAGCTTTGTTAAAGCAGGCTCTCACAGTTCTGTTCCCAGCTTTGACGGTGACATATTGTGAGGTTTGGGTAAGTCACTTACCCTCCATGCGCCTATTTTCCAAAACATTTTGAGGGCTAATGATACCCACCACACTGTACAGCTTAATTGTTTGCGAAGTGCTTTAGAAAGCCTCCGATGGAAAGCACTATAAGTGCAAAGTGCTTGGTAAAGCACAGCCACATGACTGTTAAATAAAGTACTTTGTCAATTATACTCTGTGACCCTCCCAATGCTTTAAACAAAATTACCAGAACTGGGGAGGAGGGACTCTAGGCCAGTGGCTCTCAAACGTTTTTTTTTTAACTAGTGACCCCTGTCACATAGCAAGCCTCTGAGTGCGACCCCCCGTTATAAATGAAAAATACTTTTTTATATATTTAATACCATTATAAATGCTGGAGGCAAAGTGGGGTTTGGGATGGAGGTTGACAGCTCGCGAATCCCCATGCAATAACCTCGCAACCCCCAGTTTGAGAACCCCTGCTTTAGGCCAACACAACGTTAATTCAGTGTAATAACATTTGCTGTCAGGAGATGGCACCATAATGCTAGGTACCCAGTTTTGGTCTCCCTCCAGTACCTGCTGCATTTCTTTATTAACTAGCATAACAGCTTAGTCCATCTTCAATCTAATTTTTGGGCAAATGTTAGAATCCCTTCTGCATCCCCCTCCATCTAACCCCGTGTCTGCATTTACATTCTCCACTCACTATGAACTCTACCATCTCTCCCCCAGCACTGTGGAACATGTGAATGATCTGTTTCAAGGGGCATGGGACATGCAAACTGTTTCCAAGAAAAGGTAACAAGTATAATTGAAGTTTACTAGCCCCTAACCATATCAATTAACAGCGGCCTTCAAATATATCCATTCTTAATATATAACAGGACATTTTAATAAAGAACCACAGATACCGTAGAACCTCAGAGTTACAAACACCTTGGGAATGGAGGTTGTTCAGAACACTGAAATGTTCATAACTCTGAACATGATGGTGGTTCTTTCAAAATTTACAACTGAACATTGGCTTAATACAGCTTTGAAACTTCACTATGCAGAAGAAAAATGCTGCTTTCCCTTTATTTTTTAGTAGTTTATGTTTAACACAGTACTGTACTGTATTTGCTTTTTTTCCCCTGCTGCCTGATTGCGTACTTCTACTTCCAAATGAGGTGTGCGGTTGACGGGTGTTTGTAACTCTGAGGTTCTGCTAGCTCCCTTCCACCACACAGAATGATTAGAACCATTGAAATGTAGGGCTGGAAGGGACCCCGAGAGATCAGTTAGTCCAGCCTCCTGCATCTAGGCAGGATAAAATATACCTAGACTGTCCCTGACAGGTGTTTGTCTAACCTGTTAATCTCTGAAGATAGGGATTCCACAACCTCCCTTGGAAGCCTAGTCCAGTGCTTAACTATCCTTATAATTAGGAAGGATTTCCTAATATCTAACTTAAATCTCCCTTGCTGCAGATTAAGCCCATTACTTCTTGTCCTGTCCTCAGTGGACACAGAGGACAGTTGATCACAACCTCTTCGTAGCAACCCTTAACATATGTGAAAACGATCAGGTCTCCCCAGTCTTCTTTTCTCAAGACTAAACATGGCTAGTTTTTTTTTTTTTTTTTAACCTTTCCCCTCGTAGGTCAGGTTTTCTAAACCTTTTATCACTTCTGTTGCTGTCCCTTGGAACTCTCTCCAATTTGTTCAAATCTTAAAGCGTGGTGCCCAAAACTGGACACAGTGCTCCAGCTGAGGCCTCACCACTGCAGAGGACAATTACCTCCCGGGTCTTCCATACAACACTGCTCTTAATATACCTCAGAATGATATTAGTCTTTTTCGCAACTGCATCACTTTGCTGACTCATATTCAATGTGTGATCCGCTGTAACTCCCGGATCCTTTTCAGCCATTCTACCACCTAGTCTGACATTCCCCATTTTGTAGCTGTGCATTTGATTTACAATTATAATCATTAAAAGGAGTGAATCTGAATTCTAATAATAATTGTGATAAAGTAGTGTTTATTACTGATTTATATTATGGTAGCACCTACAGGCCCCAACCAAAATCAGGGATCTACTGTTCTAGGTGCTGTACGTGTATTTGTTAAGAGACATGCCCAAAAAACTACACTCTGAACAGCCAAAGGGTCGGAGAAAGAAAGTATCCCCATTTTACAAATGGGAAACTTCAATAGAAATTAAGCATTTTGACCAAGGTCACAACAAGAGACTTGGTTTCATATTCCTTAGTCATCCTTTAGGAGTGAAAGACTCAGTTCTGGACACTCCTCAGTTATCATTAGAGGGCTTGTCTTCACTACCAGTGTAAGTTGACTTAAGTTACGGTACTCCAGCTAGCTACGTGAATAACGTAGCTGGAGTTGATGTAGCTTAGGTCAACTTACCCTGGTGTCTTCTCCCATCAACTTACCTCAATCTTCTCAGGGAGCTGGAGTACCGGGGTCGACCGGAGAGCACTGTGGTCGATTTAGCGGACCTTCACTAGACCCGTTAAATCGACCCCTGCTGCATTGAGGCAGCAGCGGAGGTAATGAGGACCAGCCCTAAGTGTAAGAAATTGATTGAATTGGTGTCTCTCCCATTTCATACTTCAGGATGGGCAGGGCTTGCCAGGCAGAGTAGAAACCACCAGCCAGTATTGTTTGTGCATCTGAATTGGCCAGGGATATTTTTCCTCACGCCAAGGATCAAGCACAGTCCTTTTGCACACCTGCCCAACTACTGAACTCTTAGCTGTCTTCACTGGACCAGGGAGATGTGTTATCTGACATTCCTCAGAAAAGTCACTTTTTGAAAAGCATTAAAAGGAGATTAGTGCTGTATCCCTAGGCAAACTATTGCTTCACTACAAAGTTGAACCACCTATGTTATCACTAATCCCTGATAAAGTGGGTGTAATGTCCACCCAAGAACACTCACTCATATCTTCGCTAAGGAGCTAGGAAGACTACATGACAGATGCTGTCTGCCTGCTATGTGCAGAAAAATCTGCATTCAACTGGAAGGATGTGGGGTCACAGGCTGGAAAGTAAAGTTCCATGTGTACACCAACCATGTGCACAGAACAGTCTCGAAACAATTTAAGGAAAACACTGATTTCAAGATTAAGGCGCAACTGAAAGGTTTGTTCTATTAACAATGAGTTTGTTTTCATTGTCCCAAATGCTCTTCTAGAAAGACTAAGGACACTGTTCATGTCCCCAGTGCTAAGCAGAAAAAGGAAACCTCATGAGGTTCTCTTAGTGGCTGTTGTATTCTGCTTGACTGTAATACTTCAGCCTTCACTGCTACTGTTCTCCATTACAGAACTGCAGTTTCAACAGAGGCTAGCAGTGTCAGTGAACAGAGGAGGAGAAAACGAGGGTAAAAAAATTGTAGGATTTTCCTCAATTTGCAGGAAGTTATCAAGACTTCTGCAGACAGCTTTTTGTTTTAATACACTTATTCACTGCATGGTGCTAGTCATTCATATCTTGTTCATAGTTACCTAAAGCAGCATTATTGACTCTAGAAGGGCACAAGAAGGCATGTTCAGGCAGAAAAGCACCAGCTGCAAGTTGCTGTGAAGTCACACTAGGTGTCTAAGACCCACACTTATATGTGGCCTCATTCTTGCACTCCAGAAGGACTGTTCCCCACCACCACTTTTAATTCCCTTAAAAATAGTCGGTATGCTTGCAATAAACAATGGGTTGGATCCTGAGCTGCACCAAGCACACGTCACTTACCAGAAAGCCAATCTGTCCCAGGTTCAAGTTACTGCAGCCACAGAATTGGCGCTAACTTATGCTGGCCCACAATTGCTGGAACACATTGTGCTTTAGCTTCACTTTTCCGCCTTGGAACACCCGTGTGCCAAGAGGGAGGAGCAGCTGGTGGAGAGCTGGCTATGCCAGCTTTACACCAGCAGAGGATTCTCCCATGCTGCAGAAATCCACAGCTGCCCAGTAAGAGCAACTCCAAGTGCTCTGTGCAGCGCAAAGGATTCTGAGGAATCTGGCCCTATTTTAAAAATGGTGTTTGAACCATGCAGAGGGAACAGTGCTTAAAAGAAAAGTGTTAAGACCCTCTTGATGCTGCCCTGATTTGCGCATGATGTTGACAGGGTTAAAGAAACTGTACATGTCTTGGGGACAGAGAGACGAGGTGACACAAACATGTCACCTCTACAGATTTCACTTGGCAAGCGAGTGATCGGCAGCAAGGTTTGTTGGTGCTTTAAAAAGAAGCTGCAACTGCCACAGAGGAGAATAAAATTCAGAGGAGAAATTCCAAAAGGTTCAGTTATGCACAAAGAACCCTGATCACCTTCCAGCTCAGACAGGGAGACAGGAAAGTCCTGCTTTGAACAGTGCATGGAGATCTTGGAGTCAGTGTGGATAGTTCTCTGAAAACATCCACTCAATGTGCAGCGGCAGTCAAAAAAGCTAACAGAATGCTGGGAATAATTAAGAACGGGATAGATAATAGGACAGAAAATATCATGTTGCCTCTATATAAATCCATGGTACGCCCACATCTTGAATACTGTGTGCAGATGTGGTCAGCCCATCTCAAAAAAGGTTCAGAAAAGGATAACAAAAATTATTAGGGGTATGGAATGGCTGCCATATGAGGAGAGATTAATAAGACTGGGACTTTTCAGCTTCGAAAAGAGACGGCTAAGTGGAGATATGATTGAGGTATATCAAATCATGAGTGGTGTGGAGAAAGTAGTTAAGGAAGTGTTGTTTACTCCTTCTCATAACACAAGAACTAGGGGTCACCAAATGAAATTAATAGGCAGCAGGTTTAAAACAAATAAAAGGAAGTATTTCTTCACACAAGGCACAGTCAACCTGTGGAACTCCTTGCCAGAGGATGTTGTGAAGGCCAAGACTATAACAGGGTTCAAAAAAGAACTAGATAAATTCATGGAGGATAGGTCCATCAATGGCTATTAGCCAGGATGGGCAGGAATGGTGTCCCTAGCCTGTGTTTGCCAGAAGCTGGGAATAAGCGACAGGGGATGGATCACTTGATGATTACCTGTTCTGTTCATTCCCTCAGGGGCACCTGGCACTGGCCACTGTCAGAAGACAGGATACTAGGCTAGATGGACCTTTGGTCTGACCCAGTAGGGCCGTTCTTATGAAAGAGAGCCGATCTGACAAAAAGGACACAGAGAAGTGCTTGAAGACTATGGTAAATTTACACAGTGCCTAAGAAGCCTAAGTCCTATTTACAAAAGTCAATGAAAGTCATGCACCTAAGTCACTTCTGAAAAGGGAATTTAGGCTCCTAAGTCACTTGCATGTTTCTGAAATTTCCCCCAATACGCCAAATTTTGGCTACCCCTGTGCATATGCACCTGACTGAATTCAGTACTGGGACTATGAAGAAGTTGTCTGTCCTAATAGGGTCATTAGTGACTTATGATGGCAATTCCAGTAGAGTGGAAAAAGCAAAAAAGTCAGATTGGAGCGAAAATGTTAGGTGAAAGGGAGTCAAAACACTAAACGTAGGCAGGCCACTTCAAGGGCTTATATATAAAAAAAATAAATAAAGTGGGGGACATTAAGGCCAGAAGGGACCATCATGATCATCTAGTCTGACCTCCTGCAAATCGCAGGCCACAAAACCTCGCCCACTGAAAGTCAATTGGATTTAGGCCTTGCCTACATGTGATGGGAAGGACTATAGCAGGAATCAGCACACTAGAACAGCAGTCCTCAACTAGGGGTCTGAGGCCTGGGGGGCCGTGAGCAGGTTTCAGGGGGTCCACCAAAATAAACCAGAGAGCAAAACAGTCATTACTCGCTGGGGCCCAGGGCAAAAAGCAGAAGCCCGAGTCCTGCCGCCCATGGCTGAAAGCCAAGGTTAGAGCGACTTAGCTTCAACGGGGCCCCCTGTGGTGTGGGGCTCTAGGCAATTGCCCTGCTCGTTACCCCCTGGCTTTTAATCTACTGGATATGCAGAAAAACAGTTGTTGTGGCACAGGTGGGCCATGGAATTTTTATAGCATGTTAAGAATCCTTGCACTAGAAAACCACACGGCAAAGTTACTGGAGTACCTTTCATCCTGCTAATCAACATCTCCTTTACAAGGAGACAAGCTTTCTCTGTCCACTGATTAACCGGTTTCCTAGCTTTTGGACAATTATCCTCATTTTTGTGTGGGGGAGATTTATCACTCCACATTCCAGACTGCTTTCAAAATGTTCAGAAAGCTCGTATTTCTTGGGTAATTGGAGCTACGTTCCCTCTTGGTAATCATTAGTAGCAAGGTCCTCTTTTTGAGCCTGCTACTGGAAGTTACCCTGCTGTTAATTTTCACATCTGAAAAAAGTATCCTTTATAACTTCACATACGCCATCTTCATGAATGCAGGAGCGCCTCTCAAATCCCCTCCCTGAAACAGTGTCAGCGTGAGCTGTTAATACACAACTCTGGAGTCTTCTGAAGTGCCACAGTATAGGCAGCAATCACCTATTTGGCATTACATAGCAATATGTTGCAATCATTACGAGTCATTTTAATAGAGAGGCCTGTGTTTGCCGTGGATAATCTTTATAGCTGCTGGTGTGCTAACACATTAACGACTGTTTTGTTTTCCCCTTGAAAACCCATCTTCACTACAGATTGAAGAGATCTCAAGAAGCATAACGGAGAAGGGGGTGGGATTATCAGTGTATGTATGGGGTGGAGGGGGGGGAAGAGGAAGAGAGGGAGGAGGAAACTACAGGAGTGCATCTGCTGGAGCTCTCAGATTCCCTCATGTCAATCTCTCAGTCAAGAGCAGCAGGTTGCAGTAAAGCCCCATTTTAAAATGGCCACTTTGAGCCAATTGCATTTTCCTCTGCGTCATGAACAGGTTAAAGCATGCTCTCAGTGCTCTCTTTCACACCTGACAGATAGCCAGCCTTAAAAGATTTGATCGCTCCTAGAGCGGGAAAAGACACAAAACCAGAACATTTCCTTTGCCCTTTGAGAAACTTCCACTTGTGCCCTCTATGTCCAAGAGCTGAGGCAGACAATGGCTCACATCAGACCGGAGGTTATCTGTCAAATCGTCTGGTGCCCGGTTCACATTCCAACCACAGAGAGGGACCCCTGAGGTTTTTACTATTCTTCTTTTATCCTTCCTGCCTTCTATAGACTCCCATCAGCTTTCCCAGATTACACCGTTTTACTTTCCGCTCCTCCCCTACAAGACCCCAAACAAGGTATTTTCCTTCTGCAGTATGACCTTGCTGCTTTTCTGACTGAGCTGGTTTTCCAAGAGGTCACCTCTCCTTTATTGAATCAGCAGGATTTCCCCCTCCCTCCACTGTTTCCAGGAAAGGTGTGCACTTATCATGTCCTTAACAGATCATAAGGAGATCCTTCCTTACTTCCCTGTCTAACCGCCTCCAAATCCCACACACCCATCCCCACCAAGTCTAGAGGCTCTGTTGGAGCAGTCCAAGCAGTGAACACATGCAGGCTGTCACTTACGTATTGCACACTGCCATGGTCTGACACGACTCTCCTGTGCAAAATTCTGAGATTGTACTATACTGTAAATTGATATGGTGGAAGAAGGTCGTTGCTGAAAAAGACAGACAGGAAAAATAAAAATTTTAGAGATGTAAGCTACTTATCAGAACACAGACAGGTAATCCACAAATGAACAGGTAAAGCGGACTAACACTCCTGAACTTGGAGATCTTAATGTTACAATGTACTGACTTAAAATCAGAACTCAAAAGCTGCTCAAGATACAAATATGAGTGTGGTGTCTGACTAAACCCAAATGACTGTTTGCACACCTAACAAAACCAGCATGCAGTTTAAATTAATCTCTCATAATTAGCACACACAGCTAAGAAATAAACGTGACTGGGTGTGACTGAAGGTTAGGACTGGCAGAGCTATCTGAGTAGCAGCAGGTGGTGTTGCAGGTCAGAATAGAGATGCAGTGGGGAACGTACATAGCATATAATTTTTAGTCAGCCACTTCTGTGAGTACTACCTTTGAGTAAACTTTAAAATTCAAAATAACTCCACCATGGCTAGAAGGGGAGATGGAGAGAGAAAGAAAATCCAGCTAAAAGACTTCTAGGTTTACCTTAAAAAACAAACAAACAAAGGAACTTTACTGGGACTTGCCTGCAAGTCAGGGTCTTACAAAATGTTTTTGGAAGACCAGTGCCTCCAACAGTCAAACTTGCTGAACCAGCAGTTTTAACAGATCCTCCAAAAGGAAAATGAGGGTCCTCAGAGAGACCTCAAAAAAGTTTAATGTCCTCACCAATGTCACAATGAGAGGGGGAAGAAGGGGAAATGCACTAACATTTCCACCCTGTAGAGCACAGTTGGTTTATGCTAAACACAGCTTAGTTACCACTCAAGATATTGTGACCTGCATTGCATAGTAAACATGCAAAAACATTCAATGGCTTTTAGTGTTGAAACCAGTAAAAAGAGAACATGTAAATGAAAGCCCCTTTTGGGCACGGGCATCAGGCAGTGAGCTGTGTTCATACTACTTACTATTGCTGGCTAGCCACTCATTGAGATCTATTTCTCGTGGTAACATCACTAGCTCCTTGAATTCAAAGTCAGTAATTCTTAACTTTGTATATTCTGGCTCTAGGTAGAGTTTCTTCTCTTCTGGTACTGGCTTTTTACCATTTGGTTTTCCCTTGGATTTCCTGCAAAGGATTAGAAAAAGAGAGAAATGTTACCACTACTCCTGGTAAGGAGCATACTGATACAGTCTGGTTTATCCAAACTTCCCCACTCATGTACACTCCATGTGTTCTCTTTTGTAGTACACAGTCTAATTAATTTTAATATTAGCGAATAGAGAAAGATTCTATGCTATTAGACACCTTGCCTGGAGCATACTATCAGCACTAGCAAAGAAAAGATATGCAACCCTGAAGGAACTCAGAATTACAAAACTCCAAGCAAGCAACCTTTAAGTGTTTTGCTTTTTTCCACCAATTTATTTTATTAAGGTATAATAATAAAACCCACATAATTAAAAACCCCATACCGAGTGACTTTATAAATTTCATAGAATTATGAAAGCTTTTGGATGCTTCATGAACTTCATATTTTTTTAATTTATACATCTTTCGCACTGTCTATTTAGATTGCTCAAGATACTGTGAAAACGCATAGTGAGAGACTGTCACTGCCCTAAAGAGCTTGCAAGGAGGCACAGAGCTTGGTTGAGGCCTCCAGAAGGTACTACAATGAAAATTACTACAGTCTTTGCTGTATGCAGCAGTATTTTGTACCTGTGATGGGGAGGGATGGACAGGACAGACGTTGGGAACGAGCAATAAAAAGATTCAGAGGTAACGAGGGAACGACACAAGGAAATGCTTTGTAAGCTCTCCCCAACCCTTCTCTACCAGTATATTGCAGCTCATTCCTGAGCTGCAGCACTCTTTGCTACTCCAGTTCTGCACCTTTCCTGAGTGGGGACTAAGAGGTGTTCTGAACTGAGCACTTACTGTGCAGGCAAATATGCACTAAGAACTAGGATAAAAACCAGACATCTCACTCTTTAGACATGGGTTCAAATCTGTATGGAGCGGTGATGTAGACCTGCATATATGGTACATTTTGCCTTTTTTCTCATCCAGGTTCAAAAAGAAGAAACAAAGCCTGTCCCAGTTACCACTGTTTTCCTCATGGTCTGCCCTGAAGGTTCTCAGACTGAAGTCTCAACCCAAGCCAACAATCCCATGGCTAGACTTCAGTGAATCATGCATGGTCTGAATGTGCTGACCCACCACATGCTCACTGCTCCTGATGGGTTTTTAAACAAAAAGGCAACGTATGCTGTCAAGCTTTTGTTTATGTACCTGTCTCTCGTGTCTCTCCAGTTACACAACGAACCGAGCTGGAAGGAAAAGGGACCACTCTGGTGCTGAACAAGTACAATAGGCATTGTGCACTTAGCACTGGAACATGAACGTTGGGTACCAGGTGCTCAGATTATTTTACCTCAGGCATTCTTGGTTTAGGACAAAATGTTTTTCAAATCTAGAAAACCAAGACAACTTCACCTTTGGAGATCATTGCTTTAAATTGCGCTATTGAAATTAGCCTGGATTCTGTCCCAAGAAAACCTGGCCTTGAAGTCATGCTGTAAAAGGACAGCATATAGACTTCAAAAGAATCTTTAAACAGTGCCCGTCTGTGATGTATGTAAACTGTAATTATGGCTGCAAAGGATCAGACAAATCCTTCCTAGAAAGGGCACTTGAAGGTTCAGTAAAACCTGAATGAGGAGTATGAATCTTCCTCTGCCAAAGGATGTATGACTATCAGAATCTAACTCCTTAGGTACTCTCTCTAAGTGTACCCCTTTAAAAATGCTTTAAACACTCATGTGGTTGTGTGGGAGACCTGGATTTGATTTCTGGTCTCTTGCTCCCTGGGATGGTAGAAACTAGGAAGCCAATGTAAGAGTGCCTCATATTATTCTGTGCCAGCTGTTCTCAAACTGTGGGTCGGGACCCCAAAGTGGGTCACGACCCCGTTTTAATGGGGTAGCCAGGGCTGGCGTTAGACTTGCTGGGACCCGGGGCTGAAGCCAAAGTCCGAGCCCCACTGCCTAGGGCTGAAGCCCTCAAGCTATGTGCGCGCGCACCCCCCCCCCCACCACACCAGGGTGGCAGGGCTCAGACTTCGGGCCCCCTTCCGTGGGTCATGAAGTAATTTTTGTTGTCAGAGGGGGTTGTGACAATGAAGTTTGAGAAACCCTGCTCTATTCTGACTTTAGATTCAAGAGTTGTCTCCCCACCCCCACTTACTGGCCAGAAGGAAGGCACTCAAGACTTTGCATATTATCTAAGACAGTTGTAAGGAAGAGAAAAAAATCAGGGAGATCTTCAAGGCTGCAGAGGATGCCTCATCTTGTCTATTTGTACATTTTACACGTATTTACGAGCCACAGATACACAGAAATGTCACAGTAAGTCCCAGTTAGGGGAAGGTCACTTTGTCTAACTACAATAATGAAAGGGTTAATGAGATGGCTGTGAAAGAGGACTTTTGTAACCCCAAACATGTTTTAACTAGTAGGACTGGCCTAGGAAAGTAAACTAAAAACCAGCTATACAAAGACTGGCTGATTTATTATACTGCTTCTCACCGCACTCAGCCCCTGCCTTCCTGTTGTTCAGAACACTGAATTCAAACTAAGCTTAAAAAAGTCTGCAAGGTTTCTCTTCTGAGTTTGTCTAACAAAGAGAACCTGGCCTACAAACTAATTCTTCAGACTACTTCCCAGCCAGGGGACATTGTGTGTCAACTTGGATACATTTTCTTCATGTTAAAATCCTATGTTTTACAGTGGACAGAGGTATAACAGTGGAGGGCTGCAAAGTTAGAACAACTCTGGGTTTGATAACATAACTCTTGCCTTCATCCCTGCAGCTGCAGTGAACCTCAAAGTATAATGTCGAGCTATAGACAAGAGAAAGGTTCAGGAAAGATGCACTTGCTGCTTTGAGAGACATAAACTGACTTATGCAGTGTATACTTGAATGCTTTGTCTCTAGTTCTACTCAAATTTTCACAGAACTTGAAGTTTTCATAATTGAAAAACTATTTTAACATCAGAAGAAACAGTCTTTTTCAGGTTTCTGTCTTTGGTTTTAATCTAAGTATCTTGACTGTAAACAAATGAAGCAGCCTGTTCGACCTCTTTCTTTTGTAGGAATGTTATACTCAGACTTGGAACCAGTTTATCCTGGCAGTAAACAATATAAATCCAGTTGAAACTATGTACTTAACCCTTAGCTAACCCAAAGCACTCAAGGCCACTGAATTGCTCCATTCCAAGCAGAGACTACATCACCCCGCCACTGCTCAAACCAACCTAGGCAGGTTCTGTACTGCACCTTTACACCTGCAGAGGGTCTTAGTGGAAATTACCATACATGCAAAATAAAATCATGTTTTGGGATGGTTCAGGGCATTTAGAACAGATAGGTGGTGTTTTCAAAACTGAAACCAGTTTCAAACTGGAGCAAAAAGAAGCCTGGTGCATTCAATGTCCTCATCCCTGAGAGGCTGGCATGAAAAGTTTCACTAAATTGCTATTGGTTGAGTGTAAAACAATGCTCTGAGGGAGAAGAGAATCTGACTCCTGTCTCTTCTACAGGATAGTGCTACACCAAATGCCTAAGACATGGAGGAATAATGTACGCCACATCAGGCAAGAGCAACCTTCCATGGGCAGGAGGAAGTGGGAAAGAGGGATTAAGAGGTCAAAGCTGGCCTGTCGTGCAGACAGGCTGCTGGGGGGAACCGCAGGAGAAAGCCAGATGTGCGGTGCTTGAGACAGTTTTTCAGTGAGTAAGTGGGCTGTTCCTACCTCATGCAATGCCTCTCCCCATCCAGAAATAATACAATTTCAGTACAGAGCAATTTACTTTCACTGAGAGTCTGCAAGTTTCTGAACATAGTTTCTGCACACAAAAGGCTATGCTCAATCTTAAAAAAATGTTTACCTCTGCATAGGAATAGCAGTTTTATGCTGCTGACCATTTGACCATTTTGTGTCTTTGCGACATTGCAATGGGCACCAAATCCCTCTATAAAATGCCCAGTTTAGATTTCCAGTACCCTGGAGATGAACTACCTGAAGGAGAACTAGCTCCCTTTCCAATGTTTTAGTCCCCTTCTCAAAAATATTAATTTGAGGGAAATGTCCCACTTGCTAAATAGATACATGATCACAAAAAATGAAGGTTTATTCACATCACTAAGACACTTGAATATCAAACTTCAGATGACAGTAGGAAAAATTTTGCTTACCTTGTGCAGCTACTAAGGGCTTGTCTACACTACCGCTTAAGTCGATACAACTTACGTCATGCAGGAGTGTGAAAAAACCACCCTCGAGTGACATGTGTTACATCGACTTAAAGCTGGGTCTACACCATGCTACGTCAGTGGGTAATATTCTCTCGCCGATCTAGTTTCCACCTCTCGTTGAGATGGGAGTAATTATGCCAATGGGAGAGCATTCTCCTGTCGACATAGCATGTCTTTAGTAGATGTGCTACAGGGGCATAGCTGCATCGGTGCAGTGTTGAAGAACCACCATAAAAGTTGTTTCTACCAGTGAGTTTTCAGTGTGTATTGGTAATAGGTGATCTATAATAAAAAATATTGTAGTGCGCCACAATAATTAGGCTCAAGAGACTCTTAAGAACATCAAGTGCTGGACTGATCACGCTTGTGAAATTGCAAAGCAACGCTCCAGCCTAGCAACCGAAGCTGAATGAATTGTTTTCATTAACCCCAGATTCCCAGGTGCAAAGTGCTGGTTCTAGTGTGGAAGATAATAGCCAGTACTAAGTATTTTACATGTTTATATTCACTGCACCATGCCCCAACACTACAGAAACATTTTTAAAGGTGATCACACTTGAGTAAGAGCACAAATGTTGGTACTACATCCCAAATAAACTGGTCAAACTGAGGCCCATACATTAATTTAATGTTGACAAATATAGTTACCTACAAATATAGGTTAAAACATTACCTCCTCCTTCCTACCCCAATCCTTCAATCAAGTTTACACAGTTACTTCAGCTGAGAGGCTGCTTCTAGGAAAACACTCACTACGAAACATTTCCAAAGGCTCTTGAGGAAATATTTTTCATGCTTTTTATAGGTT